AGGCGCTCGTACGCGGGGCCTAGATGTGCTTGAGAGTTGGTACCGCGGTCCTGGGGTGGCACTTGGCCGGAGAACCCACCCCCAAAATTTCGGCGCCGAAGCTTGGTTGGGTGCCAAGTTGAAACATCCGGACAGACGCGCGCACACACACACATACACACACACCAGGGTCATCGCAATATGTGTTTTTGCGTATTATGCAAAAACGCATAACAAAGTGATGAATGACAAGCTAACGAAATTCAACAAGCTTACGCTTTTTCGTGGCTGCATCCGGTGGAGTTATACTTGCGATAATTTCTTTGAGCTGTGATAGCCGCACTGCATTGTTTGATGGACCTCCGGAAACGGTCCCATTCGAAGGAGTATTAGATGGTGTAGCTACCTGAGTTGAAGCCGCTCCACTTCCTTCCGATCCTCCTCTGAAATACAGTTTGGCCCTGCTATTAATCTTACAACTGTCTCTATATAAGGATTTGAAAACAATTACACACAAATAATATTTTTCTGTAACATTAAAGAGAATTCTGACGAATTTCGTAAAACTCCTTCCTCTACTATGAAAATATATTTAGATTAAGGCAAGAGAGGACAGGGAGCTAAAAGACATATGACCAGGAAAGCACAATTGATAAGGCCCCAGAAAATCACGGGAGCTTCAGCCCTTCCTGTCAGCTTTACTGATATGCAAACTGCTTAAGTTGTGACATCTACATCCAGGACTTCAATTTTAATAATCAGGAAAACCTTCCGAACACCCCAATACACTAAAAAATTAGTCATTAACTCCAAAAATGTTTTCCCTTTCTTCTTGAAAAAATAAATCTGACTCCAGAGGTTATGGGAATAACTGTAAATTAAGTCAGAGTAGCACCTGAAAAGTAACTTAGCAAGTCGTGCACTCAGCAAAATCACCTTTCAGAGAGAACGGCTATACCAAAAGAAGAAACCTACGCATGAGGAGCATCAGTGAGAACTGGAAGATGCGGTAACAGGCCGGCCGTATCGCTGCTCGATGCACTTCCTCCTCCGGAGTGATTCATGAACGAAAGAAGCTGCATAAGTTGATTGCGATCCAGGTTGCCCAGAGCCCCAAGTTCAGCGCTGTCCGTGCCTGCTCCACTCAATGCTGCTAAACTGCCAAACGATGATGCCGAAGCTCTTTCGTTACCACCACGTGCTGCTGCTCGAGGAGCCGGTGGATTGTTGAGTGTTTCATTCACCTGGCAAAATTTTATAAAATAATGCATCAGCATTATTTGCCACAGTATGAACTGCTTCCCAGTAACAGCACTACGGCCGAATCACCAAATCAACTGGTTCGGGCGATCCTAGCCG